CCCACTGGATGCAACAAATGCCTCATTTGTAATGGGTTTTAATGTTTTTGTCTCGTCGCTCCGGCCGGGATACGGCATCAACAGTATGGTGAGGGGCGTAACATTTCCGTCACACGCTTGAGGTATTCGGCCATTCACAATGCACTGGATAGCTGGCTAATCAGAGCACACCTTGCTTTTCAGACCGATGAGCTTTGTAAAAATCGTCACGTTTCAAAAAAGAGGGGCATAGTGGAGAAACAATAATGTACAGTATGTGGAAAATAAAGTGTGTTTTTTTTACTTTAAACCGCATTTCATTACACCAAATACACAAAATAATGTTCTTTTTAGCAGCATCATATGACCCCTTTAAACACTTAATATTCCCTCTCCATTCGCTTTTCACACAGGTCATGTATCTGGAGAAAGGTGGATGCAGATCCAGTGTGTATTTATTAAAGCAGCTGTATTCAACTCTCTCCCCTGTATTGCATTCATTTTTTGTCATTTCTTTTGTATCTGCATCGTTAATGTGTGGGTGGTGGCCAGGGGCGTCATGCACTCAATATTTTTGAGGGGGCACGAGTTGGGGGGGTTAAGCTTGCAAGTTAGGCTACTAATTATAACACTTTCATTGAGAGAGCAAAGAACATTTACATTATCAAAGAACATTTTCACTGACAGTCTACAGTAGCTCAAGCACTCTCAAAAACTCCCATTAAAATAACTGAATAGCTGACCATTTACATTATGAAATTAATTTCTTACAGATTGTATAAACATTTGCACTTTGTTGTTTCTGACGAAAGAATTCGCCCGAAAGAGGTATTCATTCAGTGTGCGAGTAAAGAAAACACTGGCATTTTAGCGATGACTCATCTGAACACCTCTGATTGGTCATTGCAATCTTAAGATCAACAGCATGGTGTGTGATTGGTTAATGCGCAGTGCTGTAAAAAACGCGTCTGTAGCTGGCTCAGCGCCAGCCAGCGAACGCAGATTTGAATTTAGCAGCTGATGATATGACGCACTGAACGATCTAATCACTCTGGTGTGATTGTATTAAATATAGAAAATATTAATCGGCTATTTTTGTCTTTTGGAAGCTGCATTCAAAATCCACTTGGCTCAAAAACCTGAGGGGCACTTTGAATGGGCACGACGCATCTGGTGGTGGCCCACATTTCCGTGAGACTGTCATCCTGTTATCAAGAAAATGTGGCATCAAATAAATCTCAATATTAGTCAGCACATATTGCCTCTAAAAATAGAAAGATCTGGCCAGTCATCCACCATGTGAGCCACAGATCTATCTCTGTTCAGTCAGAGACCATACCTTCACATTTAGGAAAAGGGCTGCTCCATTCTCCACTTGCCTGACAGGTCCTTGTAATGTAGATCCACTCCCAACATATGAAAGAGTTATTGTGTGTCCTGGTCTGATTGAGACCTCAGATTGAGACCCCGGGTGTTCGTCTGATCTCATGTTCTCTGTGAGTTTTGCAACACATTTTGTTTCTAAAAACAGAAAGATCTGGTCAAGCAAGCATCCTCCATGTGTTACACAAATCTATCTTTGCTCAGTCAGAAGCTTTTACTTGCTGTGTGTTTACCTTCACATTTATATAAAGGGCTGCTCCATTCTCCATTTGACTGACAGGTGATTTCTCTCTGTCCTATTAAAATCAGAAAAAAAGACTTTAATCTACCAGCAGGGGCAGCGTGTGGCTCTGAAAACTCCTCACTGTTAAGAAAGTATTCGGACACAGGTCAGCATGACATCACATGAAGTCTGTATTATTGTGAAGTTTGATTCAATATGTGAACCAATTAATTTGATTACTGTGCTGCATGCATTTCAATATAAAAATAGTATCATAAAATAAAAACAAACATCAAAATTGCATCAAAATATGAAATTATATTATAAAATAGAATGTATAATATAAAATGTAAACAATATTAATTATACAACATAATATATATATAT